CCCCGCCTTCTTCCTGCCCTGAGCCTTGGCCTTGCCCTGCCTGCTGGGCCGCCCTTGCCCGTGGAGGGCTGCAGCCTGAGTTTGTCCCTCAACAGCCCCCGCCCTGCATCCATGCTCAGGAGACCGGCACAGGCTGGTTCCACTGTTACCCAGGTTCTCTTGACAGTCACCCTTGTCACCCCAGGGCGAGAACAGGGATGGGCTGTGTCCTATCCCAAGACTTGACAGAAACCAAAATTAACAATGCTGAGTTCACACGGCAGAAATTTCAAAACCATAGAAAACTCAGCTGTGGCTCAAGGAGTCTCTGTTGCCTTCAGTCCGATTCACAGTGAGATGAAACGGAAAGATTGGAGAGATGTGGAAAGATTTAGGAAATCCAAGCATGGCGAGGGAAAGAACACAAAAAGTCATGTGTGGGACAGGAGGACACAATCAAGCTACAGAGAGCCCGAGGAAGAGGGAGCCACGGCCCGCAGGTGGTGCAGCCTGTTGTCCCAGCACCTGGGCATTTCAGTGACTTAGGGAGGCCCTGCTTCAAAATAAAAATAAAATAAGGCATGGGGATGCAGCCCAGTACAAAAGCCCTGGCTTCGATTCCTAGACGGAAAAAGATTTTTAAAAGATTAAGAAAAGAAAAGAACAAGCTACCTGCTAACCCACAAGACAGTTAGAAAAAGGCCTCCAGGCATCTCAGAAATCTACGTGACCACCCTCCCAGGGCCGGCTGGACGTCTGTGCCTGTACCTTCACCCGGGGGGACTGCAACTGGGTGTCATCTGGGGCTGCTCAGGACCCCTTGGAGCGGAGTCTGCAGCCACACAGGACACAGGGGCTTGAGGGCCACAGTGGTCTCCACCCGTGTTTCACCGGAGGCCTAGGAGCCTGGAGGGGGCAGGCGAGAGGAGCTACTGGGGCAGGAGGGGCCCACCCACCACGCTCACCCAGGAGCCTGCACTGCAGCCTGGGCAGTCACCGGGGCCAAGCTCACAAGGCAGAGCTGGCTCCCAGGGCCAAGCCCACTCCACCGCGGAGGGCTTCCTTTCTCTCTGGGACAAGGCCTGGGGCCCAAGCCGCCCTCCGTGGGAAGGGCGCAGGGCAGGAAGGCAGCGAGGTCAGCCCCGCTCGAGGCCCAAGTGCCCCGAGTGCCCATGCCTGGCTCTCCAGCGCGCCCCTCCCTTGGCTCCAGCCCAGGGCCACCCTAACCCACTTGTCTCTGCACCTCTCCGCCAGCCCTGCCTGGCCCGGCCTCCACCGGCTCGGCCACAGCTGAAGGCGCCACAGGGCGGGCAGGGCCAGGGTCAGGCCAGGCTTTGGCAGGAGGCAAGCGCCCACAGCGGGGATGGTGGGCAGACGGCTGGCCACAGTGAGGGTGCATCCGGGGGCCTTTCAAGCTGGGGTCATGGGCCTGGCTCTCAGCACCCTGGCTGTGCGGTCCTGGACAGCTTACAGACCTCTGGCCTCAGTTTACAAAACTTAAATGAGTTAAACCACAGGAACACGAGGAACCCGGCCCACTCTGCGAGTGTTTGTTAAATAACGGCTGCAGGAGGGAGAGGACCTTGGCCCGGCCCCAGAACGCTCCTTCCTCTTTCCCAGGCAGAGAGGGCACACACTGGAGACAAACCTGCAAGGCCAAAGGGGTCCAGGCAGCTGAGCTCGACCCTGCTCTCGGGCTGTGCAGCTAGCATTCTTGCCCCAGCCTCAAGCCTGGAGACTAAAGAGAAGGGCCACGCAGCTGACTGAGCTCGGAGCAGGGGGAGCCAGGTCCCCAGCCTCTCAGCTCTGCCACCCAGGGGCCATGCAGCAGGGCAAGGCTCCTGGTCCTCTTCCTGGAGGGTAACTGAACCTCAGCCCCAGACACCCCCACTGGCCACCCTGGGATCAGAGCCGGGCACGTGGAGCATAGGGAAGGGCTGGGTTGGGGTTAGGGTTAGGATTGGTTCAGGGATAGGGTTGGGGTGAGGGTTGGAGCTAAAGGATTAGGGTTGGGGTTGAGGTTAGAGTTGGACTTGGGGTTTGGCCAGGATTGGATTTGGGGCTGGGGTCGGGTTGGGACTGTGGCTGGGGATAGGGCTGGAGTTGGAGATCAGGTTAGGATTCAGGGTTGAGGTTCTGGCAGGGGACACCACCCGCAGTCCAGCTGCTTCTGCAACCCACTGCAGACCCAGACTCCACCAGCACTGGCAAAGAAGCTCTGGGGACGTGGTGGGGCTGGGGACCATGAGGGGCATGGTGCCATGGCTGAGCAACACACCAAGCTCCAAGGCCACGGGTGACTTGGCCTGGCCTGGCCCTGCAGGGACATCACCCTTGCTGTCTGTGCTGCCTGGGCCCATAGGACATGCAAACCCACCCTCTGGAGCAGACCAAGAGGCTGAGGGACCCCAGGCCACTGCCCTGGTGGGTGGAGAGGGACCCTCTGTCCCCGGGGGCCACTCTGCAGCAGAGTCTGCCTGGATCACAGCTTCTCCTTCCAAGGACTGAGATGAGGGCACTGACCACTGGGCTCCCCAAGGTCGGGTGAGCCCGGGCCCTCCACATGGTGTCCTTGCACCAGGGGGCAGGACAACTTCCTCCTTGGGCTTCAGCCCAGGGACATGAGCTCCTGACCTGGGCCGGAGCTCAGGGGCAGAGGCTGACTCAGAAGGGCTCAAAGGGCAACCTAGGGGCTCACTTTCTCTCCACCACTCCAGAGTGGGCCGGATTTTTTTTCCCTCGCCGGTACTCTGGATTGAGAACATGGCTTCACACTGAACCACATTCCCAGCCCTCTGTGTTTTTATTTTTTGTTTTGAGACAGACTCTCACTCAATTCCTAAATTTCCCAGGCTGGGCTAGAACTCGCAATCCCCCTGCCTCAGCCTTCCCAAGTGCTGAGATGACAAAGCACAGGGCCCTGAGGTCCTGGAACAACAACCTGTAGGCTTGGCAGGATCTCCAGCCCAGGAGGGCTCAGGCACCGAGAGTCCGCCTGCCACCCCATAAAGTGGGTGCAAACCCGGAGCCCTGATATGCGGGCACAAGGATCGCATCGCACTAGCACGGCCCTCTCCCCAGCAAGCGCTGCCTGACCTCCGTCCTGCGCGGACTGGTGGAGAAACCGAGGCCCCGGTGGAAGGCTATTCTCCCAGAGGCCCGGCCCGGCCAGCCACGTCCCAGGCGGGGACCACGTGCGCCGCGCCCAAGCAGCCGCGTTCGTGCAGCAGTAGGCGCTAAAATAAGCCGCTTGCAGCCGCGGCTAAATCAGGCGTGTGTGCGGGGGCGGCGAGCGAGCCGGCGCGGGAGCCTCTCCCTGGCTCCCCCCCGCCCTCCCCTGCCTCGGTTTCCCCAAGTCCAGGCAGGAAGCAAGGAGAGCATTCAGCGGAAGAGAGGAGATCCCCCTGCCTCTGCCGCCCGAAGACCTCTGGAAGAAGGGGGGCCTTCCCCAAGGGGTGAGCATTTCTACCCCGGGGGTGCGGGCCAGAGGGAGCTGGGGCCGCCAGAGGGCGCCAGGCCCAGTCGGACAGTGACCGAATGGGCGCTCAGACCCCTCGCAAGTGGACCTCAGGCAAGGGCGCCCCTGGGAGTCCGGGCCACCGTGCCAGCGCCCCGTCCAGGGCGAGGCGCCCGGGGTGGGCGGGGTCCCGAGCCGCACCTGGCCTGTCGCCAGTCCTGAGCCCTTCGCGGTTTCTGACCCCCGGGGCCTCAGAGCCGTGTTGGCGTTGGACTGGGCCCCGCGCGGCCCCCCAGGGCGCGGTCACCTAGGAGACGACGCGGAACCGAGCGGGGGCGGGGAGCACGTGCGCGGGTCCGACGGCTCCGGCTCCGCGGCACCTGGTCCGGCGGGCTCGGGGTGCGTGGTCACGCCTGCGAGCACCCGAGCCACGGGGTCCAGGCACGCCAGGTGCCACGCGCCCACTCCGTCCTCCCGCGAGCACGCGGCGACCCACGAGCGCCCAGCCCTGGGTCAGCGCCAAGTTGCAGCCTCGCACGTGAGGCCCGGTGTGTCATTTCCACGCGCGGGCCTGCGGGGGAGGACACCAGAGCGCGCGGCCGGGTGGGGGCGCGTGCGAGGGCCTCGCGTGTTCGGGGGCTCCGCGCGGCCCGGGCGTGCCGGCAGTGCGGGGCGGGGGGGCCTCCTCCGAGCGGGCTGCGCCCGGGCGCGCCGGGTGTGGGTGTTTGTCTCCAGCATCCGCCTTCCCTGCCGTCCGGGACTTTTCCTTCCCGCGCTCGCGCTCGCCGCCTGGCCTGCCCGGCGCCCCGCCTCCGCCCTCTCAGGGCTCCAGGTGGGTGCCTGGGGCCGAGGAGGTCGCCGGCCCACCCCCAGATGCCGCCCGAGGCCCGGCTCCTTCCTCCGCCCCCTGCCCTCCTCCCGCTCCCTCCCCCCGGCTGCCATGCCAGGGGGTGGGACGTGCCAATCACTGGCTGTGCCGCTCCGCTGCCAGCGCAGGGCGCAGCTCCCCCGAGAGCCAGGTGTTTGGGTCCCGGGAGACGCGGCGCCTGGAGGAGCGCGGGGCTGAGGACCCTGCAGACCCCGTGTCCCCACGGTGAGTGCAGGCGGGAGGTGCGGCCAGGCAGAGGGGCAGGGCTGGGGTGAGACTGGAGGCTGGCCCAGGGGAGGAGGCACCCCAGCAGGGGGTCTGCAGGTCTGAGGCTGGGGCCACTGGACCCTGGCTGTCCTCCGCACCCTGGCTTTGAGTGGGCATCTCCGATGTTTCCCTGGGCGCTGGTCAGCAGTGGAGATGGAGACCCCCACTCGGGGTGAACAGCCCCAGCCCAGGAGGGAGGAGGCTGCCCAGTGCCTGGTGACGAGTGGGCGGACAGGGGCCAGCGTGCAGCCCGAGGCACCAGTGTCGGTAGAAAACCAGCTCCCCCTTCATGGGGCACCGGTCCCAGCATCTCCCCCTCTCCTCCCTCAGGGTGCCCCCCCACACCGTCAGCCCCCCAAGATGGACTGACCCAGGTTGCTGGCCTGTGGACAAGCTGGAGGACAAGGTGGGTGTTGGGCAGAGTCCCCGGGCTCACTGGGGCAGCTGAGCGCATGAATGGCCACACTGCCTGAGGAAGGTGGCCCTGGTGGGGCGTCCTGTTTCCAGTGCCTGCGGTGCCCACAAGGGAGGTTCAGGCCTGGGTCCAGGCAATGCCTGGAGACCGTTGGGCACCAGGCCCAGGACACCACTGTGTGGAGTTCCTGCAGTGTCGCCAGCCCAGGCAGGCAGTGGGAGAGAGCAGGCAGACCCCGTGGGGTGGTAAGTTACCCGTGCCACGGCGGGGGGCCCTTTCCCCCAAACACACCTGCACCTCCACCGGCTGCCCTGGCCCTGTGCAGCTGGGAAAGGAGTCAGGCAGCCTCCTGCCTCCAGGGACTGGCTGCCCACTGGCTCTGTCCTGCCCGGTGAGGACACTGAGAGCTGGGGACTGAATTGGAAGTGCAAAGGGACAGCCCAGGAGTCAAGGAGGGCAGCAGATCTAGGAAGGAGCTGCCCACTACACGGATGGAGAAATTGAGGCTGGGGGAGGCGTGCCCCCAGCCACAGGAAGGAGACTGAGGGGTCCCCGTTAGCGCCCGTCCTCCCTGCCCTCCCTCCCAGAGCAGGCCAGTGGGGTGGGGAACGGGCGCCTTGCTGGGAGGCGGCAGCAAGGCCTCCAGGCAGCAGGCACAGCGGAGTGGGTGAGGCGCTGGGTGCTGTGCGGTGGTGCCATGGTGATGCAGGGGGAGGAGGGAAGAGAGCAAAGAGGAGAGCAGGAGCGGTGGGGGATGGCAGCAGACCTGGCCCTGAGGCCACTTCGCTCTAGAGGGGGTCCAGGCCCAGCCTGCTGGCCATGGCGCTGCTCAGGACCATCATGGGGAGCACATTTGGCAGTGGCTCTGGGATGACGGCCTCTCCCACGCGTCCATCTGTGCAACGTTTAACTGAGGGCTGCTGCCGGGCGTTACAGGAGTGACCTGAGCTGAAAACGTGGCCAGTTCCACCGTTTACTCCCTTGTTTTGAGACCGGTATCAGGGGCAGCAGGGTGGGCATCTCTCATGGGTCAGGAGCCCCCGGGGAGAGGCTGGCCTGTGGCTAAGCTTCAGCAGGAGCCACCAGGCAGGGAACCGCACCAGAGGAGGGCCCCTGGCCACCTGCCGGCCCTCTGCTGGCCACCGTCCCCCAGAGGTCTCTGCCCCCGTCTGAGCTCTGTGCAGGCCACGGCGACAAGATGGCTCCACTCCCCCTCTCGGCCTCCGCTCCACCTTCCCGGCGGGCAGTGCTCAGGAATCTGCCCTTGCCGCCCCTCCTCTGCAGCCAGATACCAGCCCCAAGGGACAGGGATGGTCCAGGGCTGGCCTGGTCAGGTGGTTGGTGGAGTCAAAGGCTCTGACCTCATTCCTTAACCCTTTGTGTTCGGGCTGACGCGCACATGTGCACACACGTGCACTCCCGTGGCTTCCCTGCAGCCAGGAGGCAGGATTTCCTTGGTCCATTTTATTGATGAGCCAAGCAGGGCCTCACCAGGGAGCAGAGGTGCAGCCTGGAGGGGCGGGAGAGGAGGGCTGTTCCTGCGCCACTGGTGTGTCTCCCTCACGAACATTTGCTGAGCAGGTACTATGTGCTGGGCCCTGGGAGAGTGAGTTCTGCCTGTGCTGGGCCCCCTACCCGCACTCACCGCCGTCATCCCTGTCCCGTCACCCCCAGGCCGGTTCAGAGTAGAGGACCGAGTCCTGCCCACAGGGACGGGCGGCGAGGCGGGTCACGGCGCAGAGCAGGTGTGGCCGCCAGCCTGGACTCGGGCCTAGTTGCCACACTGGCTGCTCCCTGAGGGCCTGCAAGGTTGCTGCCCCCTCTGCAAACTGAGGATAACGGAACCTCTGTCCTCAGGGGTGGGAGCAGCTAAATCACGTCACCTCGCTTGCAGGACGCACTCAGCTGTGCCTGGGAGGTTCCAGCAAGCAGTGACTCCCAGTTGCTGTGATGGTATTCGCAATATCGTTAAAGGCTCCACAGCCTCTCCCGCGAGCCCCAGGCCTGGGCACAAGGCACCTCCCCGCCCACCGCCATCCTCACCCGGCCCCTGGGTCCCGCTCAGCTGGGACTCACACTTTTTGCACACTCCTGGACGCAGAAAGGCTCCCAGGGCAGGACAGCGCCTTGCCTGAGGTCGCACGGCCAGGTGAGGGCTCAAAGCCAGCAGGGGGGCGGGTCGCGGGGCTGGCCGGGAGGAGCTCCCAGCCCTGCCTGCCCACCCGCACCCTGGTTCTGACCAGAATAGCGCAGGCAGGCGAGACTGGACTGCCTGTGGGGCTGGGTCCTCTGTCAGTTGACATTTTGTCATGGATTCTTTGCACTGATTTCTCTTTTTTAAAGTATTAGATTAAAATGTTGTTTTGGGGCTGGGGATTTAGCTCAGTGGTTCCGCCACCAGTCTCGAAAGCACAAGGTCCTGAGTTCGATCCCCGATACCAAAAAAAAAAAAGTTGTTTCCTTGAGTCTTAGGTGCCCCTGAGCCATGTGTCCTTGCCTGGGTGGGGAAGAAGCCCAGCTTGGGCTGGAGGTGCCATCCACCCCTTCCTCTGGGCAGTGGGCCTCCCCATCCTTTGCACCCTGGGTGTCACATGGTGCTGAGTTCAGAAAGCTGCAGGACAGAAGTGGGGAAAGCCCCACCCGATCCCAGCCGCGCGGTGGTTCCTGACCCTGGGGAAGAAGTGTGCATCAAAAATTCATACTCAAGACAGTTTTTGCTTTTTTGCAGTACTTGGTGGGTGGAACCAGGGCCTCCCATGTGCTAGTTGAGCACTCGCCCCTGAGCTCCATACTCAGCCCTTTTTCAGTTTTATTTTGAGACACGGCCCTCCCAACTTGCCCAGGCTGGTCTCCTCATTCAATCCTCCTGCCTCAGCCTGCTGAGTGGCTGGGGTTACAAGCATGTGCCACGACACCCAGCAAAATAAATCATATTTCAATGCACTAATCTTAAAATTCACACTGGTTAAGGACAGCCCACAGGCTACTCATCAGTTCTTCTAAAGGAAATTTCATTGGGACAAACTGCTGGGGCCATGGTCCTTGCTCCTGCCCTCCTGTGGGATCTGAATCTTCGTGCCTTCCCAGCCTTGGCCTCCTTCTGTAAAATGGAGAGTGAGGCCCCAGTCCCAGGATGCTGAGAGGATTGAATGGGGTCACAAGGCCACACGGCTGGCACCATGCAGTGTCCTCCTCAGCAGCAGTGGAAGTAGCAGCAGCCACCATTGTGTCCAAGATTTGTAATCAAAGCAGGGGATGGTGCAGGCGGGAGGCGCACTTACGGCCACACCAGCCAGGATGGGCGTGGCGCTCGGGGGCACCCCCCGGCCAGGGGCATCCGGGCACTGTGACCCCCACACGTCCCTGTGGTGGTACTATACTGGTGGGGTTTATTCCCAGTTTTCAGTTCCAGACACTGGGGCATAAAAAGCCACATCACTCGTGAGCGTCACTTCCCAGTAACTAGCAAAGCCTGGATTCCAGCCCAGGCAGTCCACCCCTGTGCACACCGCGCTAGACACCCAGGCCACACTGCAGCACAGCCCTGTCTGTCACAGGCACAGGTCCCCAGCTAGAAAGAGCTGCTCACGTGCCCTGGGCCACACACGCTCCAAGTCCCACACCACAGAGGCGCTGGTCACAGGCCAGGCCCCTGAACCCCAGGGCTGGGCGGCCCTGGCGACCTCTCTCCCTTGGGGCTGCAGCCTCAGGAGTGGACAGACAGTGCCTGGGACCCGGAGCAACCTTCCCTCTGCTGTGACCCCGGCTGAGGACTCAGTCGAGTCACTGGAGCTGACCCGGCGCACCCTGGGAGGACAGCCTTGGTGTGGGCGCCTGCCCGCCAACTGCCGCCACCTGCTTGGTGCTGAGCCACACTGCAGACCCCAGGGCAGGTCCTCCCAGGCCCCATCTGGGGCCAGACCCCACTTCCTGGGAGCTGAGGCTGGGCCCGGACTGGTCTCTGGCCCTCCTGGACCCCTGCTGCCTGCTGAGGGCCCGGGCCAGCCCACCCCACCCCTCCAGTGAGCACTGGCCCCTCCCTGCCTGTCTCCCTCCTCGCCCCAGGCCCTCCCTCCTTCCCGCTGTCCCAGTTTGATGGCCGGCTCCCCATGGAGCCCCACACACTCTACTCCCACTCCACTGTGGCCACCCTGCAGCTGCCCGGAGCCACGGCCAACCCTGATGTGAGGACAGTGAGGTGTCCTCCTGGCACACACTTGATAGCTCAGTCACCTGACTGAGTGCTTAGCAGAAGAAGGTCTGGACACAGCCAAAGCCGTCACGAAGCTTTGATGGGGCTGAGCGAAATGCTCTGAAGGCCGCGTGGCTGGGTAAGAGTGGAGCCATCCACTGGGCCGTGTGTGCTGGGCACCACAGGAACAGCTGGTGCTCTCCCAGTGGGAACAGAGGCTTGGCATCTGCATGGGGAGCTGGAAGGAGCAGCAGCTGCCCGGGGCCTCAGTGCTGCCACGCCAGGCTGAGTGCCCTGTAATTGGCCTACAGTGCGAGGGCGACTTGCACCTGGCCGGCAGTGCCCACGCAGGTCCCAACCAAAGCTCGTGTCTGTTTCCAGGTGATGACGCCCCCCTGAGGATGCCCTCCGTGTGACTGCACGACCGGGCTGCCCTCCCCACTAGGCCACCATGAACACCTCGGCTCCACCCGCAGTCAGCCCCAACATCACCGTGCTGGCCCCTGGAAAGGGACCCTGGCAAGTAGCCTTCATCGGCATCACCACAGGGCTCCTGTCGCTGGCCACCGTGACAGGCAACCTCCTCGTCCTCATCTCCTTCAAGGTGAACGCAGAGCTCAAGACAGTCAACAACTACTTCCTGCTGAGCCTGGCCTGCGCTGACCTCATCATCGGCACCGTCTCCATGAACCTCTATACCACCTACTTGCTCATGGGCCACTGGGCGTTGGGCACGCTGGCCTGTGACCTCTGGCTGGCCCTGGACTATGTGGCCAGCAATGCCTCGGTCATGAATCTGCTGCTCATCAGCTTCGACCGCTACTTCTCGGTGACCCGGCCGCTGAGCTACCGCGCCAAGCGCACACCGCGCCGGGCAGCCCTGATGATCGGGCTGGCCTGGCTGGTCTCCTTTGTGCTCTGGGCACCGGCCATCCTCTTCTGGCAGTACCTTGTGGGGGAGCGGACAGTGCTGGCTGGGCAGTGCTATATCCAGTTCCTCTCCCAGCCCATCATCACCTTCGGTACTGCCATGGCGGCCTTCTACCTCCCAGTCACTGTCATGTGCACACTCTACTGGCGCATCTACCGCGAGACAGAAAACCGGGCACGGGAGCTGGCTGCCCTGCAGGGGTCTGAGACACCTGGCAAGGGTGGTGGCAGCAGCAGTAGCTCGGAGAGGTCACAGCCTGGGGCCGAGCGCTCCCCAGAGAGCCCACCAGGCCGCTGCTGCCGCTGCTGCCGAACACCCCGGCTGCTGCAGGCCTACAGTTGGAAGGAGGAGGAGGAGGAGGAGGAGGGCTCCATGGAGTCCCTCACATCCTCGGAGGGCGAGGAGCCCGGCCCAGAGGTGGCCATCAAGATGCCCATGGTGGACGCCCAGGCGCAGGCACCTGCCAACCCGCCCCCGAAGAGCCCCCCGAGCACGATGAAGAGGCCCACGAGGAAGGGGCGCGACCGAGCCGGCCGGGCCCAGAAGCCCCGTGGGAAAGAGCAGCTGGCCAAGCGCAAGACCTTCTCGCTGGTCAAGGAGAAGAAGGCCGCCCGCACCCTAAGCGCCATCCTGCTGGCCTTCATTCTCACCTGGACGCCGTACAACATCATGGTGCTGGTGTCCACCTTCTGCAAGGACTGCGTCCCTGACACCCTGTGGGAGCTGGGCTACTGGCTGTGCTACGTCAACAGCACCGTCAACCCCATGTGCTACGCGCTCTGCAACAAGGCCTTCCGGGACACCTTCCGCCTGCTGCTGCTCTGCCGCTGGGACAAGCGGCGCTGGCGCAAGATCCCCAAGCGCCCCGGCTCCGTGCACCGCACCCCCTCCCGCCAGTGCTGAGGGCCCTGTGCCGCCCTGCCCTCCACTGTCCTGAGCTGAGGCCTGAGCTGCTGCTCTGCCCAGGCCAGCACCTCCTGGACAGCCAGAGACACCCTGCCAGCCCCACAGCAGTGGAACCTGGGGAACTGGTTTTTCCGTTCCCTACTCAGTGGGAATGGGCCTGCACCAGGAAGAGACCTGAGGAGGATCTGGGCTTTGCTCGTATTTACCTCAGGCAGGAAGCCCAGAGCCTGCTGCTCAGCTGGGGGTCCATCCACATCCTCCTGGGCCTTCTCCTCGCCTCAGCCGGCTGAGCAGCTGGACGGTGAGCTCTGGAGGCCACAGCCAGCACTGACTCCTGACGCTGAGGAGAGAAGCTTGGCTCCAGGGCACAGGAACCCCGGCTGGAAATCCTTCCCCACTCCCCAGGAGGGCTCAGCCTCCCCCCAAGACTTCCCCAAAACGCCCTGTGTCACCTCCCAGGCAAGTGTCCAAGCAGCAGCAGGACAGTGACTGCAGGGAGGGTCTGCAGGGCTGGGTGGCAGCCGTGGGGCCAGGTGCCAGGTGTTAAGTGTCCAGCTGTCCTCCCTGCTGCCCCAGCAACCTCGGCCAGTCCCTTCCCACCTGGCTGTCAGCCATCACCAGGCCTGGACCGCTAGACTCCTGCAGCTCGGCCAGGCCCCGCATGCTGCCCACCTCCAGCCCTGCCAGCCTTTCCCTGCAGTGCCAGCTGCAGGTCCCCTCCTGTGCTCCCGACCGACCGACCGACCGACCGTGCATGGCCTCCCAGCAGCCCTTGCCCTGGCCTGGCCGGCCCACATGTTCTTTTCTCCACCTCAGCAAGTGCTAAGTCTGAATAAAGCCACACAACCAGCAGGTGTCAGGCCTTTCCTCAGGTGTCAGGCCTTTCCTCAAGTGTTGGCTGGCCCTGGGCCTAGGCCAGGGTGGACAGGTAGGAGGCCCAGGAGAGTGGGATATGGGATGTGGCCTGACGTCGGCTCCAGGAGGGCCAGCACCCAGCCCTGACTCAGGTCAGGGGGCAAGAGCTCCAGACAGAAGGTGGCTGTGCCTTGTCACCAGAGGGGACGGGGGTACAAAGCCACTCCAACTTCCAGTTATAGGCTCCCTCCTTAGACTGTGGTGAGCGGGGCTGACCCTCCAGCCCACACGGAGGTCCCTCATGGGGGAGGAGCCTGACGCCTCATGCCAAAGACCCAGAGGAACTAATCCTAGAGTGGGGTGCTGGGGGGTTGGGAGTCCCCAAGCCCTAAGGGTCACGGATTTGCCAGAAGGAGGCCCAGGACAGCAAGCCTGTGACAGTCCCTGTCACCCCCTGGAGAGAACAGAGTGAAATGGGAGTGGAAGCAGGCACAGCAAGGGAAGTAGGGCCACCTGGAGTTGTCCATCAGAGGAGCCAAGCAGGCAGGGCCTGATCGGCAGCACGGTGACACTGCCAGCCTTGGTGCCCAGTGTGCCAGTGGAGATGGTTGCGTGGGCCTGGCACACCGAGGTCACTCGGCCTCCCACAGCCCAAGGCACCGCTGCAGTCACACGGGGCACCACCCCTGGCACCCAGGGAAGGGACTCTCCCACCCAGTCAGGTGGTCCGGGCCTGATGTCCTTTTCCAGAAGGTGACAGCCCATAGCCTCCTGGAGAGGCATGGGGTTAGGACGGACAGCCACACCCAAAGGCATGGCCCAGACCAGTAGCCTCGGTGTCACCTGTGAACTTGGTAGACAGGCAGATTGTTGGGGTCACCCTAGGTGTGCAAATATGGAAACAGAGTCAAAACCAGCCATATGCCTTTGATCATTTTTGTGGTACTGTCATTTTACCCCAGGGCCTTCCCACTGAGCTACATTCCCAGCCTTTTTTAAATTTTTCATTGTTCATCTGAGACGGTGTCTCCTCCCCAAATCACCAAGGTGCCCGGGCTGAGCTCAAACTTGTGATCCTCCTGCCTTGGCTTCCTGGTGCCTGGATGACAGGTGTGCGCCTCCACGCCTGGCTTGATTTTTGAGACAAGGTCTCACTTTAGCCCAGGCTGGCCTCATACGATCCTCCTGCATCGGCCTCCCCAGGCCTGGGACCACAGGTATGTGCCACCATAGCCACCTGGCCATGGGGCCTGAAAGCCACCCTCCCTGTGGTTCTGATGCAGGCTGAGTGCGGAGAGACCCTGGCCCAGAGGGGTGGGGTCCTGGTAGGGTTCAGTCCTTGCAGAGGGAGGAGTGGGATGCACCTCCAGCTGCCAGGACTCCCAGAAGTCCCTGGGCAGCAGGAAGGGCAGCACAGGGTGGACAGGAAGGCTGGACCCCTGTGCCCAGCTCCCTAGGCTGCCAGCTCAAGACCTGACGGTGCCTCCTCCTGACCTGTGTCGTGTCCCTGCTGGTGTGGAGGCCTCAGAACCTCAGTCAAGAGTGGAACTCCAGGCTCACCTGGCGTGGCCTCTGCTGGAGACTGGGAGGAGGGCCCTGGCTGTGCTGGAATCGGGTTGGGGACAGTGGCTCACATGTGCCTTATCCTGAGGACCTTGTGTGGAGCTCCGTGCATCCTCGGGTGTCTCTTGCCCTTCGTGTTCCTGTCTCTGATAGAGCCACAAACCTCTTGCTGAAGAGGGAGGAGGATGGGACAGACGACAGGAAGGCACCAGCAGCTGTGTGATGAGGTGCCCTGGGCTCCGACCCACACCCCTAGCGTTCCCCACCCTGGCCAAGGGGGGTGGGGGGACAAGGCCTGTGGGACAGCATGAGCATCGGGAAGGCCTCTGCCAGCCTCGGAGCAGGATTGCTGCAGACCCAGCAACCAGAGAGCGAGGACAGGACCCGACTCAGGGGAGAGGGTAGCTGAGTGGTGTCACCTGCCTCACCATGAGTGGTCCTGCTCTGCCCAAAAGGCTCCAGGCCTCAGCAGGAAGCAGGGAGAGGCCCCAGCTCCCCAAGTGGCACCTCATCCCCACCATTCCCACCTAGCCCAGGCCTGGAGAAGGGGTGCAAGTTCAACACTGGGTCCCCACGCCCCAGGCTCGCCACTGCTGCCCGGTGTGACTCTGGCTCCATCTGCTGGCAGCCTCGGGGATAGCCTGGCATGGGAGCCCTGTCCTGCTTCTGGGGGGCCTAGGAGCAGCAGGGTCACTCGCTTGTGTCCCATTGGGACTCTCCAGCATCAGCCCAGCTCCTTGCCAGCTTGTGAACCCCAAAGTTGGCAGGATGAGCAGAGCCCTCACCAAGATGCCTCCCCTCCTCCTGGCGTCCCAGGCCCAGGGAGTCCTCACTCCCTCAGCTGACCCACAGGAGCCCAGGCCTCTCTACTTGCCCTTAGGGCATAAGCCCTCTGGACACCTGGTGCCCATGCCTGGCCTGAGCCCTGCTGGGCTTGAGGCTGTTGCTTCTAGTGTCGTCTTGTTTTAGCATCTTTGTAAACAAACTGCAGAACTCCAGGAATCAGAGGACTACAGAACAGACCTGCAAAGCGTTCCCCCGCCCCTGTGATGGCCCCCTGCTGGTCCCCCTCACCCGGCTTATTTCCTGCCTGTCAGGCACTGCCCACCAGAGCCTGGGAGTCAGAGTCGGCCTGGCTCCTCCTGTCTCACGGCTGCTGCCTCCTGAATACACCTTCGGCTTCAGCCCACAGCCACCACCCACAGGACACTCCCGTGAGTCCAAGACCTCAGGCTCCTCTGTTCAGGACCAGACAGGAGTGTTCCAGACTCTGTTGGCCAAGAGGGGAAATCAAGGCTCCTGTGGCAGGGCTTGTGCTAGGCAGTCTTGGACCCACACCGTCAGAAGCACTCACAGTCAACACTCGTGAGCAGGGCAGCAGGGCTGTGTTCTGATAAAAGTTTGCTTCATATAATTTTCACGTGTCACAAAACATTATTCCTTCAGTTTGTTTTCCAGCCTTTAAAAAATGTAAGACCTGGGGCCGGGGATTTAGCTCAGTGGTTTCGCCGCCTGCTGCACAAGCGCAAGGATCCAAGTTCAATCCCCGGTACCAAAAAAAAAAAAAAAAGTAAGACCTACCTAAGCACAGTGGCATGAGCCTATAATCCCAGCTACTTAGGAGGCTGAGGCAGGACAGCTGTGAGTTGGAGACTAGCCCAGGCAAACATGGTGAGACTTTATCTCAAAAAAAAGAAAAAAACTAGAAAAAAAAAATGGAAAACTCTTTCTTAGCTCACAGTTGGTACAAAAACATGCCCACCGGCCATAACTGAACAACCCATCCATTTTCCATGCTACAGGCAAAGTGATTTTTGCCAAATCATAGATCCAATGTTTTCAATCCCTTGCTTACAGCTAGCAGAGAGCCCAAGATTTAAAAAATAAAATAAAATAAAAAGCCAAGTCAGGCATGGTGGCACATGCCTGTCACCCAATACTCAGAAGGCTGAGGCAGGAGGATCACTATGAGTTTGAGGGCTCCATAGTGAGTTCAAGGCCAACTTGGAGTGTGTAGCAAGACCCTATCTCAAAAAACCAGACAAAGCAAAGCTCCTTCTGCCTTAGGTGTAGCTTAGAGACAGTGTTTGCCCGGTGCAAAATCCCTTCTTCACCCTCAGCCTCTCCAGTGACTCCCCCAACCCCATAGACTGGAATTTGCCCTTTTGGTCCCCAGATCCTCAAAGAGGCCAGAGCTCCCTCCTTCACGCTTTCACTCCTTCTGGTTCCTCTCCTCGAATGGAATATGCTTGTGCCATATTGCCTGTAAACTCCCATGCTGCCTTCAAGATCCAGAGAAAAAGAGAACTTGCCCACCCCCAAGGCACAAGGGACAGCAGGCGTCAGTAGGAGGCGGAGAAGGGCAGAGATGGGCAGAGCGGGTGCAGGGAGGGAGGAGGAGGAAGGCCAAGGTGCGGGGGAAATGGCAGATGACAGAGACGGGCCCCGGGAGCCCACTGCTGCCCAGCGGCCTGTCCAGCAGTCTTGCGAACTGGGCAGCTCTGAGGGGGCTGGAGACCCAGACAGCCCGAAGGCCAGCTGTGCTGCTTTCCTGGAAAGTGACTTTTGCCCAAAGGTAGACCAAATGCTTTTGACTGGCGCTGACAGGAGCCAGCCAGGACCCAGAGCCAGCTCCAACTGCTCCACTCAGGAGTGGCACCGCTCTGCCCTTTCCTTGCTGGGGAGCTGTAGACAGGAAGCACAGGGAACCATGGCCTGGGCCCTGCTTTACCTCTGACCCGGAGCAGTGTGGGGTCTGAGACAACCTCCCAAGCTGTGGCCTCGTCTTCCTTCCACCTTACCTCATGCTGGGGATGGAGCCCAGGGGTCCCCAGGCGTTCTTCAGAGGTGCCAGTTTACATGGACCTGAGAAGGCCGGCGTCACGCTGGCGAGGGTGAGCAACACCTCCATTCAGAGAGGAGGATGAGGATATGGCGAGGGGATCTGGGCTGGCACTGGGCAGGGCTGACCAGACAGGCACAGGGTCAGTGGGCACCGACAGCCATGCGGTGGCTGGGTCCTGGGCTGCAGGCCGAGCTCCCCCAGAACCTTAGGAGGAACCCATTCTGCTGCTCCTGTGCCTGCACTCCTTACTGCAGAGTGCTCTTCTCCCCCACCACAACACGACCTTCCACACCCAGCCTGGGCCTCAGGCACTAGAAGCTCAAGCTCAGGCGGGAGCTACCCCTGCAGCACCACCCCACCAAGGACGCTCAGGGGCACCCAACAGCTCCGAGGCTTTGGTCCGTCAGGCTGTGCTGACCTGCAGGACCTCTGGTCCCCATCCCAGTCCCCATGCAGAGCCCCAACGGACACGGCACTGCCTGCCAGGAGCACTGAGCTCCTCAGCCTCCTGGCACCACTCCTGGGCCCCCACTGGGGAGGCTTCAGCAGCAGGCCTCCGCTTCCTGTCTGGACAAGGGCCCACCCGTGCTGGTCCTTTTCGGTC